GAATAGTTCTGCTATAACACTTTTTGTCTTGTCACTGTCTATTTGTATTTTTAGTCACTACACATATATTAAAATATTTTGAATTAACCCTTTTTTCTGAAACAATTTCTTTCTATGTAAAAGACTATTATTTTTTCTCTTTTAATACTTGTCTGACATAAGGGGAGAAGAAATATCTTTCATGGTTCTTCTTAATATTTTGATTTGGTATACCACAATTTATAACTTCAGATGTTAAGCATTTAGATTATTGAATAGAAATCATTTCATTGACCACCTTCGTGAATAAGATTTTTGAGGGCGTGTTTATTATTATTCCTTTGGGGTAGATTTTTAAGATTGGTTAAAATACTTCGTCAGAAGAGACGAATATCTTTATAAAAGCATGTTGCTTTCTAAGGAATGTCAGTATTGAGTTTAAGGCAGTAAGTCTGTGTACCAAATTTATCATAATTTTGATAGTATTGACTAGAATTGTTCAAGATATCTGTGATACATTAGTAGATGTACAGGGTATCCAACAAGGAAGGCAGAACATTTTCCCAGTGTTCACTCATTGTAGCATACTTACATGACTTGTCCGTGTATATGTTATACTTTCATCTGGCTTTTAGGATAATTTGTATTAAAGGTTTTAAATTATCTTGCCAGTCTGTTGTCCTTTTTTGGTACCTGTCTAGGACTATTTTCAGGTCTGCACATCCTTTGGTGTTTTCTCCTTGGGTGGGTGTGAAGATCAAAAAGAAATTCAGCAATACTGAAAAATGGAATTTCGGCCTCAAAATATTGGCCTTGAAATACACTGGTAATGGTTATAGGAAGGAGAACTTCAGAAAACCCCAAAGTCAATTCTGGTGTAAGGAAGCAAAGACCACAGCCTTTCTGTGGTATTTTCACAACTCCCAGAACTGAGGGATAGCTTCAAGAACAGCTATATTGTCTATACTTCAGAGATGCTCTGTGATTGACACTCATAGCTCTCCCCTCTTCTTTTGAGCCTAATAAATACATAATTTGTTTTGAAGACTGGAATTCAAACTTTTTCATATTCTTCCCATCTATGTTATTTCATTTTATATTCTAAAAATATATTTGATTCAGATAGTCTAAAGACAGTAGTTACTAACTGATAGCATACACACACAACACACATATATTTTTAAACCAAGTAGAGTTTTTGGAAAACAAGCTTTCAGCCAGCAGATATTAACTACATTTTAGTTCCCTCTTAGTTGTCTTGATACTAAAGTTAGTGTATCCTTGATTTAGATGAAGGCTCCTGTTACCGTGTAGTTGTTTTTGCTAAGCTTCTGTTCTGTAGAATTGTTGGGGTCATTTCCTTGTCAGTAGGTACTCACTTTTAGTCTGAAAAATACTTACGTTCCTTGACACCCTTTCCCCAAAGCAAACACCCTTTCCCCAAAGCAAAAGCTAATTGTCTATTTCTTCAATTATGCAAGTTTTGTTTTTCGAGTTTGGTCATCAGAAATTTTAGGTGCTTCATGCGAATGAAATAGTGCTGCTTCTCAGGCAGGGGTGCTGTTGGGTAAATGTTGATGTGTATTTTCTTTTTCTTTTCCTTGTTCAGATTGAGTCTGTTTCTCAGCCACTGGAAAACCATGGTGCCCCTGTTCTTGGTCATACTTCAGAATCATTGTCTACCAAATCATGTGGAGCACTGAGACCTGTCAATGGAGTTATTAACACGTAAGTTTAGCCCTTCTACTTCTTATACTTAGTAGGCTTGTAAAAGATATTTTGGAGCTCTTAGTTATCTCTAGCCTGTGCTGACCCTGGTTTAAAAAAGCAGAAACCTTATCACTTATTAATATTTTGCATGTGTCCTGTAGCAAGTATGTTTTAATTAATATATTCATGTGTTTTCCTTTTACCTGCTGTGGTCTAAAATGGACTGGGCATGGAGAAAAATAAAAGGTCCTATTACTGTGAATTATTATTGTTGGTCTTAATCTTGGAGGAATTCCTCAGTAGTGTTTATATAATAAGCTGCTTTAGAACAGATGAGATCCCTGATGGCTGTTTGTAAATGTATATTTATGAAGATTCAAGGAATCCCTATACAAGTGAATGATGTGTACATGTTTGAGATTCAAGTTTCATAGGAAAACTGATTCTAAGGCAGCCCAATTAACATTTGCAAAATTTATAATTTTGTAACATTGCAATTTTCTAGACTTTCTTTATTCATGTTTTTGTTGTAAAAGAGAACTCAGTTACTACTTGAGTTCACTTACTGACTTTTGTGCTTTTCAGACATGATGCGGGTAATGTGTGCCAAGAGCCTTACACATAAGCACACGCTTAGATTAGTAGACATCAGGAGATTACCTACTTCTGCCCTGGAATGCTTGTTTGTGTCTGTGAGCATTTGCAGTTAAAGGAGGTTGGACCAGTATTAGAGGCTTTGTTTCTTTATGTTTTCTGAGAAGTGAATACTCTTCCTTCCCCTTGTGTAGTCTTCAGCCTGTCTTGGCAGACCAAGTTCCAGGTGACATCTCTGATGCTGAGGAACA